AAAGTTAAATTAGATAAAGTTTAAACAAAAGGATTTTATTATCATAGACATGAATACAAAAAAGTTAAATTAGATAAAGTTTAAACAAAAGGATTTTATTATCATAGACATGAATACAAAACAGATGGCGCGTAACGGAAAAATGTGACGCGTAACCGAAAAATGTGACGGTAAATTTTTTTCCAACGCCGATAAGGAAGTTTCACTTCAAAAAAAAGTCGTTTTAAAGTTTTTTTTTTTATTGCCTTTGTAGGCAGACGGGCATACGGCCCACCTGATGGTGAGTGGTTACCGTCGCCCATGAACTTCAGCAATGCCAGGGGCAGAGCTAAGCCGCTGCCTACGGACGCTTTTACGCTTTTAACGGAATAGAACAATGGTTTATCTTAGCGGAAACCGGGGCTGATCATTCGTCAAATGTTATGTTAATAATCTTATTAATAACCCGGTACGATGACGCTTAGCTTGACGTGATTTATTCGTATTGCTAGAATGTATTTATTAGATTTTTAAATCAAAAAAATAATAGTAGGAATTAGAATGGAATTGTTGTTCAGTTTAATTAAGATATACTGCAACGTAATGTCTAGATTGTGTTGTCACAAGTTCGGTTGCCTGTTCGAAATCTTGACAATACTGATTTTCAAACACCTACGAACATTAATATTATAGTTTTCTATAAAAAATATTTAACAATAGATTAACATAGATATAAAATTTGATATATGTGAAGCGTAATACTGAAGTCCAACATACATATCCAATTTTTTTATTTTTTTTTATATTTCCTACATGTGTGGACGAGCTCACAGCCCACCTGGTGTTAAGTGGTTACTGGAACCCATAGACATCTACAACGTAAATGCGCCACACACCTTGAGATATAAGTTCTAAGGTCTCAGTGTAGTTACAATGGCTGCCCCACCCTTCAAACCGAAACGCATTACTGCTTCACGGCAGAAATAGGCGAGCCGGTGGTACATACCCGTGTGGACTCACAAGAGGTCCTGCCACCAGTAACTTTAGAAAGCTTCTAACCTTAAATTAATATTTGTTATATTTTTTCAGAATGGAAGCATAACCAACGGGAAGGAGTGATTTTATTCGGAATATATTTTGAGGAAACACCAATTATGCAAAAACAATATCGATACAGACTGAAATATTTTCTAAAACATTTTTGTATGAAGCCACATAATTGACATCAAATTGAATATGAATTAAAATTGATCCAAGTAACAAAACTTTTAGTAATTTTTTTATAGACGATTGTATGTCATTGTAATCGACAATATTTTAGTATCTAGAGAGAGTTTTTATTTTATACTAATTTAATCTTTTGTATAGTCTATGTATATGTTCTACAAATATTAGGATATTGAAGAATTTTGGAAAGTGTTGTTAAGATTAACAAATATCTGACAATTTTGCAGCAAAAATAGGCAGATAATAGCCAGCTTTTCGTTTATTTGTAGGGGTTGCCAGAAAAAAAATACTACTTTTAAAATGTAATTTCCCGATTAATTACTTTATACTATTTTTTTGTGTTTTTTTAATTTTTTAGTTTTTTATTGCCCTTGTAGGCAGACGAGCATACGGCCCACCTGATGGTGAGTGGTTACCGTTGCCCATGGACTTCAGCAATGCCAGGGGCAGAGCCAAGCCGCTGCCTACCGCAAATGTGTGTCACTTAAACTCTTAGTACTAAATACTAAACACAGTTTCGAAAATTTGTAGAGATCCCTATTGGCAAAACGGTTTCTCGCAACATTAGTAACAAATTTGTTAATCAGGGATAAGGAGAAGGAAAATAATGTATTCCATGTTATGGCATTTTGTAAGGTAGCTACAACGAAAATGGTCTACATTTGTAATAATGTAGGAATAAAATCGTTTAGTAACCTAGAACTTGGCCGCAGTTGTAATGAACATGGTAAGTGGCGGCATTTAGTTTGTAGATGTCTATGGGCTCCGGTAACCACTTAACACTGGGTGGGTTGTGAGATCGTCCACCCATATAGGGCTATAAAAAAAATGCAGGGTGTGAAATATTCGTTTCCAAAGTCGAAAAATTCAAAAACTTTACCTTAAGCGGAACTCGACATTTTGCTTATATAAAAAATAAGGTTTAGTTAGTTCCAGTCGTAAAGCTAAAAAATAAAGTTAAAAGCGCCTTCCATAATTAAGTATAGATTTTCACGTCAGGATTTTAATTGCAAAAATTGAAATAAATTTGAGAATAATTTTTTTCAGCTCTCACTCATCTTTGGGAATAGTTCGCCTGTCTTTATCCTTGGGAATAGTTCTTTACACCCTGTATATAAAAGAAAATAGTAATTCCTGGAAACATTAAGATATTTTTTTTTCTATATATTTAGTTATGTTGTTTAATCATGATAACCATGATGTTTAATCTGAAATCAAATTTTACTATAAAATAAGCATTTCACTGGATTGTTAAGCCTCCTCTGAATATGATTCCCACGATATTGAGCTTTAAGCGAATGAGACTAAGATTTAAAAAATATATATTAAAAAAGTTAATTGTTTTTATGTATTTTTATGTATCTAATATATAAAAAAATCTATTTCGTAATCTAATAAATGTGTATCATAAATCAACGAATAGTAAACTACACAGTGTACTAATTTCTATTTTTACTGATTTTATGCAAAATTAAAACAAAAACGACCATAATCAATGGGAGTTTCAAACTTAATATTATTACTTTCTATTGGATGCAGTAAATATAGTTCAACCGAAATTGTGCTTTTTATTTCAAAGTTTAATTAAATCCAAAAGCTTTTTTCGTTTATCTCTATAACTAACAATATACACGCCGTGCTCTATCTCGGAACGCTTGTAAAAAACACTGATAACTCGACCTGCCAACTGAATCGCGTAGGGTGAAAACTAAACACGACAAAGATTAGTACGGTGTGCGTGATAACTTGATAAGTAATGAAAAAATGTGTGTTTTACTCATAAATTTTACATAAAAATTATACATTACATATACACATTCTATATTTAAAAAAAAACAACTGAACAACAGTAATATAGTTGTTAGAAATAGAAAATTAATAAACCAACCACGCGGTCGTGGGGAGTGATTACCGTCGCTCTAGGACGACAGCAATGTCAGAGGCACAGCCAGGCCTCTGAGTACTGTACCTTTAATTTTTTAACACATTATTTCTTCCCTTAACTGGTTACCAGAGTCCAGAGCATACCAAACCTTAACACTACCTGCTCCTACATGAGGTCGAAATTTCGCTTGGACTGCATGAAGGCTGTCCCATCAACTGAAGTCCAATAGAATTCTCCATTGCAGAAATTAACAGTGATTAATTAGATCAGATATAATTTGTATTTAGTCCGTACAGATAATAACCCTCATAACACCCATTCCGTCCGGGCGTAGACGGAACACTCTTATGGCTAGCATAAGTCTTATGCTACCGTCGAATAGGTAGAAAAAAAAAACACCCATGCCGTAAAACCGTCCTGTCGGTTGGTCTAATATAATATGTAGCTAATATCCACGGCCGGAAAAACACGAAAAGACTCAACGATGAGAGTCGCTCCGAAGGAAAGTCGATTTGTCTTGGATTCCACAGAGTACTTAAACAAAGAAAAATAGAAATTTAAGATTTCTTCGTCCCTACTCGCAAAACTGGAGAATAAAACCTAGAATTGTACAGTCAGAAACTAAAAATTGCAGTCGGGAGAAGCTCAACTATTGTCCGCCGCGGTCACACTGCTCTATCAATTATTTTTTAATTAATGGTGCCTATGAGCTTTTTATTTATTTATTTATGTACACACAAAAAGGAAGACATAGTACAGAGTAATAGGAAAATTATGTACAAAGACACTGCTTATTTCTTTAAGAAATCTCTTCCAGCAGACCTGCGAGAGGATTATGAGAATAATAATTAAAAGGGATGTGTGTAGAGCAGCTAAAATAACAAATACAACATGAGAATTATTGTAATGCACATACACATAGCAAATATTGTTATTAAAACTTGTTGTTAAAACTTGAATACAAAATATTATAAGTAACACAGTATATACGAAGGGTATAGAACAATGATCATTCGGTTGATGAGAGATAAATTGTTTGACATTGTATTTAAAAACAGAAACAGACTTGCAAACTCGGATGTCAGCCGGCAACGAATTCCACAGTCTGATCGCGTGCACGGTAAAGGAGTGAGAATAGAAATTGGTTTTGTGGGAAGGGAATAACAAGACAGAACGTTGGTTGGATCTGCAGGGAGCATCAAGAGAACGAGTGAAAGAGAATCGCTCACGTAAATTGAAGGGAGAAGTGGGCTTATGCACGATATTGGATAGGAGACATAATATTCGAGTATAGCTTTAATAAGAATTTAGTACCTGGCGGGCTGTTCGAGCGAGAATAAATTGGGTATGAAATTTAAACAAATAAACTAAAATAAAACCAAAGTTGTCCTTACACATATCATGTATATTCGCTGTACTAAAGTTTTAAATTAAATCATAATAAAGCATAAAACATTTATGCAAATAAACAGTCACAATGTTCAAATATGTACTTTGAATCACAACATTTACAAGCTTCATATTATATGCTTAAGGAATGCATTATATTAAAATATTCACGTAATTTTATTATTTCATAGACGGGTGATCGAGCTCTTAGTGTTAAGTGGTTACGGGAGCCCATAGACATAACTATGTGAGTGTCGCCATCCGCCTTCAACGTGAGGTCGTAATGTCGATTGTTAACTTCTATCGCACCCTTCAAAGCTGTTTCGCTACAGAAATAGGCAGCGTAATAATATTTACCCATGCGGATATAATAAACCGTCTACTACCGTCCAAAAGTTTGTAAGCACAAAAAAGAAGATCGCCGACACGCCGACGCCGAATAATAAATTGTTTTAAAAATATTTTTCACTGCATTTCAAGATTGTTCACATAAAGATAACTGAAAAACTAAATAAAGAAGGCTAATTGAAAATTCTCAAAGACGTCGCCATACCCACTGTACTGAATCACGTTGCTCGTGAATTCATATTTAAACAAGATAATGATCTTAGGCATTCGTCGAAAATCTATCCGAACTTTTTGAACAAGAAGAATGTTGAAAAGATTTTAAAAAACATGCTATGGCCATCTACTCTCATATAATTTGTTTGGGATAAACTCGACAGAGCGAATAGAAAAAGTTGGATGAGGAATTAAAGAATAATTAATAGGATGATTAAAATATTCGAGAAGATAATAAAAGAAAAACGTGGACACTTCGATGAGGCTAAGGTTTAAGTAAATAATCATTTTGTATTTTAAATTCTTATTTCGTTTACATACGTTATTGTTCAATTTTTAATTTAAGATCATAATAAAAAGATCTTGATGATTTTTTTGTCTTTTATTAGAGTTTACCTGGCTGTTTCCAAACTTTTGGACGATAGTGTAATTAGACGGTAGTTTCACAAGTGACTATAAATTAACAATTTATCAGTAAGGTCACATTTGGGTGGCTAATTCAAAGTTTGTGCAAATCACGACTAATGCTAAGAGATACTTGTTTACAATATTATATGGTAGCATTTAACTTTATACAGACATATTACTATTCTGTATCTGAAAAACCATTTCATTTGAATATGCTTGATGATACTTACATAATATCTATGCAAACATAACAATGTAAATGTCATAAAATTAGGCCAATTTGGTGATAAAGCCATCTACTGATAAAACAAATAACATTCATAATGTAAGCAAATGACAAGCCTTTTTTCACCATTTTACATAATACAACTTTAAAGATGTTGGTAAAACCATCCAAAATTTAGCACCACATATTGGCTTCTCACTTTCGTTAAAATACTGTTTTGTGATCTATATTAATATGATCCAAATTGTTCGTGTGTCATTTGAATCAATGAAAACAAATTATTAGCAAAATCACCATATTAAAGCTTAAAGTTACTTGGTGCATAGATTAATAACAGAAGTAGGTTTTTTTTTATTATGATAGTGCACAAGACTGGTCAACAACACACACATTACATTCTTACATTCAAGTTTATAAGATAAGAAGGGTAGTTCGATGGCAAGAGGCCTTGCATTAAAACGAAGAAGGNTTGAATCAACGAAAACAAATTATTAGCAAAATCACCATATTAAAGCTTAAAGTTACTTGGTGCATAGATTAATAACAGAAGTAGGTTTTTTTTTATTATGATAGTGCACAAGACTGGTCAACAACACACACATTACATTCTTACATTCAAGTTTATAAGATAAGAAGGGTAGTTCGATGGCAAGAGGCCTTGCATTAAAACGAAGAAGGTTACATATCTAGGGTTCTTAATTGTTACAGAGGTGGTTCGTCCCACTTGACGTGTTTCTCCGGAGTGAGATGAATTATGCGCACATGGACAGCTTGAAATTTTTCGAACTTAGGTGGGATTGGGCAAAGTCGATATATAACTTCATCACCAGGCAGGGGTACATATTCACCTTCGATACTGTAAGAAATAAAAATATGACTTTATAAATAACATATTTTTAAAAATAAGGATTGCAATATTTTGAATTATGGTTTTAATCCTCAAGCAGGAATGAATTGTTCTTTTTTTTCATTACGGGCGAATAAGCTCACAGTTGACCTAGTATTAAGTAGTTACTGGAGACAATGAACATCATAGTGTGCATGCTGCCAGACAGCTTGAGGTCGAGTGTCTCAAGTGTATTTACGAGTAATTTATAATTTCATAATAAGCCATAACTTTTTATTATTATTTGTTTAGTCCTCTTGAGGTTAGCAGGACAATAGTAAAATACGACTGAGACTTTGACCTGATGCTTAAATATGCTGCTTAAAGCAATAAATAAAACACAATATGATGTAGTGAACCTGAATCATAAGTTTTGTAAAAAAATTAACGTCCAATTAATTATCTTACCAACCATGATAAGCCCGTCAAGATAATTTGATGATTGAACACAGATCTTACAAGTACCTACAATATATCGTAAGACTTCTGAATCGCATCTTATGTAAACCTCGTTTTACAAAAAATATTCAGACGTTTTTGTTGATATCAGATAAATTATACTTTAAAAGATATATCTTAGGTGTGCATAATGTCCTTGTCCCGCAGTCAGCTCCTAACGTCTGCGGACCAGTCCAATATAAACCGCGCGCCCCCTAGGGGCGGGATTCTTATAAGAGGTTCGGCCCCCGGCCCGGAAAAAGAAGGTGTGCAAAAGGTGCCACCCTCGTCGCGGTCATAGAAGAGGACTTGTCGCTGACGACCTTCGTGGCTACGATGCTCGGCAATGCCGCGTTCTGAAAGACAATGCTCAACTTCTGTGAGTCCACCATCTCACAGAAGGAGACGGCAGAATGAGAGAAGGAGAGCTCTTCCCTCTCGGCACCGATCCGTCGGCGTCGGGTGGGGAACCGGAAAAGAGCGTACGAACGCACGTCCCAGCCCTTGTATAATGCCTTCGCATTGCCTCGAAGGCTCTGTCCGGTTTTTTTTTATTATTGCTCTTGTGGGCAGACGAGCAGAGAATGTGATTATTGACAATTCGAACGGCGGTCTTCTGTATGGAGTCAAATGGAAGTATCCCCAGCCTAGAGGTCCACCTCTAGGCTGGCGCTCCAGCAGTACTCCACTTGATGTTGATATATTATGTAGGATATAGATATGGTACCAAAAAATTCAAACCGTTCCATTTAACTACATGCTTGTGCCAGTCTCCATGCTTGTGCTTGTGCTAGTTGTAGCTACTGACACTACCTAAATGAAACTATATATATGACAAATAATACCAATATTGATCCTGTCCATATTATCTTGAGATGGCAAAACTCTCCAGAGACCGAAGGCACAAATATTATATCAGAAGGATACTATGTTACAACAGTACTCGATAGAATTCTATAGAATTCCAACTGTCTGTAAAGGTCTCATAGCTTAAGGGATGTAGATTTGAGAACATTAAAACCAAGATTCCGTTCCCATTAGTTCTATTAATTTTACATTTTTGTTTCAATTGATTGTCTCATTAGTCTAATGATTGATGACCCTGACTTCTATAATATGTGGCCCAAGTTTGTTAGTCTAGCCTTATCAGGTTTGGGTGTTTTGTGCTGGTTTCATAAATGTACATAGATAACACATGAGAAAATCTTAGCCCGAGGCTGTTGTATGAAGTGTCAACTCTTTTTTAGTTATGTGACCTAAAGGCATCACTCAATTTCATCCCCTGGATGTTGTAAATGGCGATATTATATCAGGGGACTGCCATCACTAACCAGCATTTCTGGGTGGAAAAGTAAATTATAAGCTTGCACAGGTATCTTTGACTTGCCTAATTCTATGGCAAATCAGTTATGCATTTTGGTTTGAAGGATGGGTCAGATGTTATATAATACAGTTGAGACATTGACCTTGTCTAGTGGTGGGTGGTGGCTCTCACATTGAGATGTCTCTCGCAACCACTGCACACTAGGTGGGGCTGTGAGCTTATCTATCTATACAAAAAATAAAATATACACAATAATAGCACTGATGTGATTTGAAAATCTATGAATTGAAAAGTGACAATAAAATTTCATATAATGTTTACAATTTAGCAAGTAAGAAAATGAGATAGAATAGGTCACTAATACTGCATGTGAACTGCCTTATATTTCCTTATTATTATTAGAGGATATTATTCATTCATTGTAGCCATTCATAAACATATTTTACGTATGTATGTAATTAAAATGAAATGATTTATAGTTTGGAGTCTAAAAAATATGCTTTTTATTTCAAACCAAATACTAAAATTTAAATAATATTTCATAGTATCCTCACCAGGATATCAGATAAAAGTAATAAAATTATTGTACTCCTATCAGTACTTGATGTGTGTGTAAGTTTAAAAGTTTATCAGATATTTTGAAGTTAGTAAACATTGTTTGAAGATTATGTTACATACACAGATCCCGCTTATAAAATTGTGTTAAAAATTTAGTACATACTGTAGAATTTCAATTAGTGGTCTTATTTTTAATTTGAATACACCACAATTTTGCACTTTAAGCTACTAAAACTTTAGCGTAAAATAGACTACTCAGTGTTACCTTACCTGAGAAATGTGTGACAGATTCTTCAGTAAAATTGAATTTAAAAAAAGATGAGCACCTATAAACTTAATATACATTGCTAGTTTTTTATTCATTTGCTTATTCTACTGGAGTTTTTTTCTTATTATCTTTAAAGTAAAATCGATTTTAAGTATTCATGTCTTTTAAAAATATTATATGAGTTCTTCAGTATAAACTGATTCAACAATTTGAAATAATTCCCTCTATTGAAATGTACTTTACATATTTAAGGCGTAGGTACTTTACATATTTAATGACAAGGCCATATAAAACTAAATAATCTGAACAACGAACGATCTTGTTATTATATGAGTGTCAAATTCCTTGTTTAATATTTATCACATATCAAGGTAAAGATAATGAAAAGTTGGTAAAATTAATAAAAAAATATACAATTTCTACACGCGTATACTTGAATTTCAGATACAAAGTTATTTTATACAACTATCTAAAGCTTTTAATTTAATACTCACTCAGATATATGGAGAAATATATCTTCGCCCCCTTTTTCAGGTTTCACAAATCCGTGACCTTTCTCTCTGCAGAACGTCTTGATTTTACCAGTTTCCAATGGATTACCTAAAGCCCTTTCTGATCTATAAATAATCATAAATGTCTTAATATAAATGAAAGAAATATACGCTTTATTTACGTAAAAAAGGTGCAATTTTCATACTTACGTAGACGCTGTTCGATTTCGCCGAGTTATAATCGGACTAGGTAATTGCAAATGCGAGTTTGTTTTATTGGGGGAATCATCACTATTAAAACCGTAATCGTTGGACATGATTAAAAGATTAGATTGATAATCATCTAAAATAGGTAGTAGGTAGGTAAGAAAAGAACTTATTTAACACGCAAATGAAAACAAAATGTCAGTCACATCACTTAGAATGTGCTAGTGGCTGGATCTTATCGATATTAGTATCGATAATATACCACTAGGAAGACTGTTTCAATGAACCTAAATACAATTGTTCTTTATTTATTCTAATTGGTCAAATTATTTTAGTCATATTAAAACTTTTACAAACATTAAAATGACCCTTCTTTATAAAATTCTACCACATCACCGATAATTTATTTTTTATATTTCTGCCACATTCTTGAACAGATGTATATAACCCCGTCATGACTTATGCAAGTGTGGTGTTCGCTCACGCGGCCTGCACACACATAGACACCCTCCAATCCCTACAATCCCGCTTTTGTAGGTTAGCCGTTGGAGCTCCGTGATTCGTGAGGAANAAATGACCCTTCTTTATAAAATTCTACCACATCACCGATAATTTATTTTTTATATTTCTGCCACATTCTTGAACAGATGTATATAACCCCGTCATGACTTATGCAAGTGTGGTGTTCGCTCACGCGGCCTGCACACACATAGACACCCTCCAATCCCTACAATCCCGCTTTTGTAGGTTAGCCGTTGGAGCTCCGTGATTCGTGAGGAAAGTTGACCTACACGACGACCTGGGCCTCGAATCAATCCGGAAATACATGAAGTCAGCATCGGAACGGTACTTCGATAAGGCTATGCGTCATGATAATCGCTTTATCGTTGCCGCCGCTGACTACTCCCCGAATCCTGATCATGCAGGAGCCAGTCACCGTCGACGCCCTAGACACGTTCTTACGGATCCATCAGATCCAATAACCTTTGCATTAGACGTCTTCAGCGCTAACACTAGGAGTAGGCTTAGGAGCCCCGGTAACCGTACTCCTCGAACTCGACAAAGAGGTCGACGTGCAACCTAACCCATGCATCAGCCTGCTGAGTTTCTCGCCGGATCTTCTCAGTGGGTCGCGATTCCGATCCGGTAGTAGATTCATTCGCAAAGCAATTGCTCTTGAGTTGTTAGGTCTCCTTCGGAGGCGCTCGGACAGTTGTTAGCAAATCCCACCCCTCCTGGCTGAGCCTTTGCTCGCCCACATGTCCTGGTGAAGCTGGAAAGGCCTCCGGGCCACCAGTAATCTTTCAATCATAAAAAAAAAAGATGTATATAATATTGGAATGAGATAGAACTCAACCGACGTAGATGGGTAAAGTAACACGTTTAACGCGGAACAAATCTCTTTATATTCTGTGACAGTTGGTTTTGTATCAAGCGGAATACCAGACCGGTAATCAGCCCATGAACATTAGAGTATTTGTTAACTGTAATATCGCATTTTATGATTTCGTTGTAGCTGTCGTTGAGACTGCGAGAGGCGAGAGGAACCACGTTTTTTCAGCATTTTACTTTTTGTATCTTTGTAATTGCTATCAAAGTACAAAAAACAAATACATTTATTACTTTGTTCTTTTAAATTAACCCTATGTGAATATTTCGATGTTTCAAAATTATCTTTAACTTATAGAAAATTTTCGACAATTTCAATCACTAGCATTTATCCATAGAGTTAGTGGTACATATTATAAAAAATTATGTAAATAATATTTTTTTCGTTTGTTATTCGTCCATTGGGACAGATAAATGGAAAGCTTCCATAAAGCCAAGTTTTTATGGCAAATTATCGAATCTGTGCCAATACACCATAATATATAACAAAATGAAACACACCGTTCTAACTAAGCAGTATCATACACAAGAAGCGAAAGTAATTTACTCCAATTCGTTAAAATGTTTAATTTCAGTAAGTATGTTATCTATTAAGTAGTGAAGTCTTATTATGTAGTTACATTATACATTTTAGGTTAAACTAACACTAAACAAGTTTATAGCCACTTGTTTCAAAGCTTCTATATTTTATAAGTACATTATTTTTAGCTTAATAATGTTTATTTGAGTATCACAATTGGCACTTACTATAGATTTTATGTAGTAAGTCTAAGTCTAATTAAGCGATGCACGATCGAAGCTAACAAGACAAAATCTAATCAAATTCGATAACATCATAATGTATTTTACACTTAGGTCTCGACTAAATAGTTAATTTTAGGACAGATTCGAATTTCTTCGGAAAGCGGCAGTTTTATTTTCGGTATCGGAATTCCTTCCCAATCACCCTGAAATTAAGAAAATAGGTATTTTCACATTAACAATAAAAGTATTACATATATCAAGGCAATTAATTATAAATAACAGGGCAATAAAAAAAAGAGAAAAAGGTGCTCAAACTCAATGGGCTACTGGTGGTAGACTAAGCGGTAAGCCGCATGTGGGCACACCATTCTCTTGCGAAGCAAATACGAATTCCTGTTATGGGTCGATTTGATACAATTGAGACGATCATTGTTGTCTCAAGGTGACCGGTCTTTTGATTTTGATGCTATCCAAGATCGTCGGTAACATCAGCCGGAATTTTGCTTCGATCTATGCTAGAAAAAAAACCTTTCAACGCAAATGTGACATTGTGATAAAGGGAACTGACTTGAAAACGACTCCCATCGGATTTGTTGCATTGCATTGATATTGGCGACTCGACGTACAGCGCGTGTAGTGTGTCGGCCCTTAATCTAGTCCACGGTTGGATCGCTAAATAATTAGCACGTGGGGACGCTTTCGACGAAATCGGTATATCGTCCCATCTGAAACACAAAAGTAAAAGGCGAACAACTTTTTTTTATCACTTTTATATCTGCATTACTACCGAGGGGTCTGATCTTGGTTACCGTTTTTCGAAATCGAAATATTTCTCGAGTGCTTCGTTCGACACGGCGCTCTTGCAAACCTCGAGTTCGGTCGCCGGATAGTAATGTATGTAATTAACGCACATTTCGTCCGTTATAGCGTGGCCGCCGATCGTCGCGTTTAACTTATCTTCCGTATTGTAAATGCAGGTGGTTTCCAAGAAGTCGCCCTTCAACAGAACGTAACTTAACTAACATACGTAGAGCTTAGTCTTATGGCTAAATTTACTCAACGAAAATAAACAAGTACACGAACATATCCAACAATATCAATAGAATATAATTCCAGAAAGAATTCAAATATAATTAATTTAAAAATACCCACATAAAAGACCACGTCAAAATTATAACTTAACTATTCAATATAATACCACCATATATGTTTGTATATATGTATTTACTTAGAGCCGTTAGTACTTAGGGACATATTTGGGCCCCTGTCTATCCAGTGTGCTTAGAGCGAGTTTTTTAACGTTCTCGATAGCGTAAAAGTTAACTCAAATTTGTATGGAGTGTGAACAGAGACCCTAACGGCAAACGTAAGTTAAAAAACTCGCACTAAGCACACTGACCACTATATTAATTAATTCAACAGACAAAATAAGATCTTACTGGTAACACTTTAACGGGCCGATGCAGTATTCTAATTTCCTGAAAATGCGTAGAATAATGCATGTCTTTGTTTAATACGGGAAGCTCTACACCCTGTCTCGAGTGTCTGGTCCACACCGCGGCACCAGTTAAATGCGTGTGAAGTTGACTTCCAAAAACTGTAATGCCTTCATCCGGTAGGCCCTGAAATGTTTTGATATACTAGGTTTTTCTTCGGTTTGTGAAAGTCGCAGATAATAACTCAAAATAATAATAACTACTGGGAATATGCACGGTTATCCGGTCCCAATTTTTTTATTTTATTGCTTAGTTGGATTGGACGCGCTTACAGCCCTCTGGTGGTAATTACTGGAGCCCACAAACATATACGACGTAAATGCGCCACCGACGATGAGATATAAGTTGTAAGGTCTCAAGTATAGTTACAACGGCTGCCCCACCCTTCAAACCGAAACGCATTACTGCTTTACGGCAGAAATAGGCAGGGTGGTGGTACCTACCCGCGCTGACTCACAAGAGGTCCTACCACCAGTAATTACGCAAATTATAATTTTGTGGGTTTGATTTTTATTACACGATATTATTCCTTCACCGTGGAAGTCAATCGTGAACATTTGTTGAGTACGTATTTCATTAGAAAAATTAGCACCCGCCTGGGATTCGAACACCGGTGCATCGCTCAACACGAATGCACCGGACGTCTTATCCCTTAAGCCACGACGACTCCAAATTAGGATTTCTTGTGTTATGGGTACCAGAGACTGACCTACATAATTACATAAACTTTTAAATATATACATATACAGTTAATAAACAGCCAAACAAAGGCAAACAAATTTCTTCATCAAATGAATATTTGCCCGATGTGGGAATCGAACCACGACCCTCAGCGCACCAGTGAAAAGCGGTAACTACAGTATCAGCGAGACAGTCAAATTAAAAGCAGGCAAGACATATATAATTATTGCGTAAGCGTTAATAATTGCGTTCGTCGAGCGGGTGTTAGAAAAGTATTTATTTAGGTAAATTGCTGCCTGCTTGAACAGATATTGGAGTTTGTAAACTTGTCCGTTCAGATCAGAAGCGGATCAGATACGTACCACTCCAGTACACTGAGGGATACAGTAACCAGTTAACGGAAATGCTTTTTGTTCACCAGGTATAGCCATTTTGTCGGTGTATTCTAAGCCCAATTCCATAATGGCGGCATCGTACGTACGCTTCCTTCCAGTTATATAGAGAACAATACCCGAACTGTCGACCCAATCTAGGCAATACAGAGTTTTCATTAGAAATACACCAAGGAGATAAGCTGATCAAGTCAATGTTTTTTTATAGTAAATACCTTTCCTTAATTCTGGATTGTTGTAGTGGACTTCTAGCATGACGTATTTGTTGGCTTTCGGGCCACCGAGTGGGAGGCCCGCTTCTTTTGGGTAGGTAAAAGGGGGAGCGCCCATTGCCCATGCCGCTTTTACCTATAGAAGATTAATCGTAATGGAGTCGTTGAACTTCAATCTCTTTCCTAGTATGAATAAGGGTTACCTTAGAACAACTTTTCGTAATAGCCGGTCTCTCTGCGGCAAAACAATTTCCCTCGTATGCCGGCATTTCCTTGTGGGGATCTTCGTCGCAATAGAAGACTTCCATGTGATGAACTAGGCCTTCGTTACCGGGAGTTATTGTCGATTCGAACTAGAATACAAAAGTGTAGTTTTTTCTACGGTATTCGCGGTTTGTAGGCAGCGGCTTGGCTCTGCCCCTGGCATTGCTGAAGTCCATGGGCGACGGTCGCCACATACCATCAGGTGGGCCGTATGCTCGCTGCCTACACGGGTAATAAAAAAAATATTGTACTACTTTTACGAAACCACTTTTACGGTTTAAATTCGCGTTTTTTATTTTTTACGTTTGTAACGAAATGCAAAATATTTCTTATAGAACATTATACGATAACACAATATTATAACGTTAATGCATCAAAAACAAAACCCTGATTTGAATACAGATAGCTGAAGCATGGTCTTTGGACGTATATTTGATAGATGCGATGTGATGACAAAAATTATGTGATTCAGGCAAAATTGCCCTTCTGATAGGTACCTACTCTGTGCTCGCGTCAACTTTGTCGTCCATGACAATGAAAACTGTAAAATATTACCAACGCCCAAAAAGAATAATGCGAGATTAAACTGTAAAAGTAGTTTTAATTCTACGAAAATTAATTTGTGACATATTAATTAAAAAAGAAAAAAACAGCTGATTTCGGTGTACGCTAGTCACCTGAACTATATGATGAACTTTTGACGTGACGAATTCGGGTAGCCTAACGACTTTGCACCAGTACGTCGTGTCGTCTCCCGGTACTTTTAGATCTTTGTTTGTTATTCGTAATTGGTAACCATTCGCTTTTTGCAAGCCGGGAGGTGTTAGTAGCCTTACTCTAACAAAGCCGTGCCTCTGAGGTACGGTGCAAGTAAGGCACAAGCCCTTTGATGAGAACAGTTTGTCTATTCCGTGAGCCCACACCACATGGACCGTGCCGTCCTGAAAAGTTTATCGTTAAGTTTACTTGCGATCTTGACAATTACGTAGTTTTCTTCGAGTCCTATTCATTTTCGTTCGTTTTCCTTTCAAAGTTTGTTAACAATAGTCAATGTTGAATTTCGTCTTCAACATGAGTGATAGTTTTTGTGATGGCTAAGAGTTCCAACAACAGAAGACGTATCGTCACCCTTTTTACCTTTCTAAAAAATCTTAAGATCATTGCAAGAAGTACATTAATTAAAAGTTTTGATCGCCCTCAGTTATGAGGAGCGAGTTTCTGTCAAATTGTTGCAAACGTGAGCACAGAGTATATCTTTCAGAAGGTAATTTTTACCTCAATTACATAATCATCATCATCGCAAGTATCAAATAAACGTTCAAAGATTATGCTTTGGCTATTTGTATTCAAATAAAACCCTTCACAGTTTTGATTTTGATCACGTATCAAATTCCCCTGTCCGTTTGTGTGCATATCCTAAAATCAAATACCAAACAAATATAGTTCACGAAAATTAGTAGCGATGCTATTTATTATAAATAACTTTTATTTTTTATTTAGACCTCGAAATGATCACGAGCTTTATAATCTGTCCAAAACAGACAAACATCCGAATTATTCAGTTGGCCCCGATCGGAGAAGCCTAACGCAAACCAATTGAAGGCCGGCGCTTTTTCAGAAACAGTCAAAGTAAATCTAATCTTTCGAACGGCATAATCAACACGCCACTTTAATAAAAACTCTCCGCTTGGATCCAACACTGATTCACTTTCAGCGAAACGATGACCTGAAAAATCGCGATTTTAGTTATTGTCTCCAAACTTTGCAATACTTCCAACACCAAACGTTTCCAGTTTAAAACTCACCTGGGCTTACGCTCACAGAAAACGTATAAATAAATGTGTAAACAGACAGAAAAAACACATAAAACCAATTCGACATCTTAAAGCCTTTACAAAAGACGCATCTCTTTCGAGTAGAGATGGAGGTCTACTTCACTGTGTTGTTAGAGTTAGAATGAAATGCGCCACCGCGTGCCTCCCTCCTTTGAAGGCTGTTAAATAATTTCTCGAATTATGTCACCTTGGGTAGCGTCATGCGGCGACGAGAGGGAATAAATGGTACAGACAGCAGAAAAATTATTTAGATAATTTTCATTCAATTTTTTTCTATTGCTTAGATGGATTGATAGAACGCATTACTGCTTCACGGCAGTAATAGGCAAGGCGGTGTTACCTACCCCGTCCGGACTCACAAGAGGTTCTACCACCAGTAATTACGCAAATTATAATTTTGCGGGTTTGATTTTTATTACACGATGTTATTCCTTCACCGTGGAAGTCAATAGTGAACATTTTGTTAAGTACGTATTTCATTGGAAAAATCGGTGCACCGCTAGATGCGAATGCACCGGACGTTTTATCCTTTAGGCCACGACGACTTCATAAATAAGAGTAGATACTTTTCTCATAAAACAGTAAGTATAAAACGCATCATTAATACCCAAATAGTATTTCGTAAGCGTTGATCTAATTTAAAAATATTTTTTTTATCAAGATTCGTTCATTTCGGTATCGTCAATATAATTTAAATTTACCCGTTCATTTTTAATACCTACCTACAAAATATACATTTAATGTAGTGTATCTAAACTTTTTTAATGGGCTCTTGTCCTTTATCCACCTGTGCGCAGATTCGATACGGGACAGTATTACATAGGTACATAGGGCTTACTTACTGTAGGCAAAACTTGGGACTACAATACAATTTTTTACCTCAAGTGCGTTGCGTCAATTCGAAAGCTGTAGTCGAGAACTTATAGATATATGCAAGATTTCCAGGAAATTATTTCTAATGCAACTCTAGGTACTATTGTACTGTCCTGTCTGTTCTCCTCAAACAGAATGTTTATAGGATGGCACCTGACTGGTTCCATTGATTCTGGCTGGACGAAGACTGAATTTCATTTGTCTTGGGTAAAATCGTTTCGCAAAGTTCAACTTAATGTTACTAAATTGACACTTTCCCTTGAACACGCAGGCGAAGTCGCGGGTAACAGCTGGATAATCCAGCAACCCCAAGGGCATCGGCTTGGCTCTGCCCCTGGCGTTGCTGAAGTCCATGGGCGACGACAACCACCCACCATTAGGTTAGAGCCATATACTACAAGGTTCCTTCAGAAATATGCCGACTACTGCTCCCAAGTCTTTGATGTTTGGTACACTAAAAGTTGCAAAAACGCTTTGTTGGTCAAGTGGTTAGGACCACATCTACTGTAACACGGTGTCTAGATTTGATTGCCGGTTGAATTATGGGTATCTTTGTGAAAAACGTTTCTTTTGTCGTGGTCAAGATGTACATATTATGGTCTGCTGTGTTTTTGGAATCTTGGACATTTATTCGAATTAAATTCTTTTTCATTCAATAAATCCAGATTTGTCTTATAACTGATGTTGCTTAAAACAAAAAGTTAATTTAAATTAAAAGAACAACGTATGCTTCAAATGTTTATGGCATATTTATTTTTAGCGACCAAATTTTTTTATTGGACATGATAAAAGTGCATCGTCAAGAAATGGATAAACAAATCATATAATAATATTTAATGAATATTTTCTGTCGATTTAAATGATGAAAGTCGTGAAGATAGTTAGTTGTTCCTTATGATATTTTGTGGTACGTGATAATATGGAATATATTTACGTTATATACTGAATGTACGTGTAATGAATATACGCCCGCCGAGGAATGCAACCCTAGTTGGTCGGGGCTTTATTAAATTCTTAGAGAATTCCGCTTCTCGACGCCGCGCCGGGAAATTGAATACCGACGGTTAGATCGCTCTTCAATCAACTTGAATTTCATAGATGTATTTTGAGTTTGCGAACACTGAAAATTGCTGTTTATTCGTGTTTTTTTTTTCTAGCCGCTTAATACCTAACGGCGTGAGCAAGTCTGCTTATCTACAGCAAGAAAAACAAAGTAGGGATCATGACCTTGAATGAATTTAATATACTGGGTGTCCCAAAATTCAACGATAAGCTAGTACCGGTATATGGTCGGGTCAATAACTACCCATGGAAAATAATAACAAAAATCCAGCTCTTTTTTTTTNATTCGTGTTTTTTTTTTCTAGCCGCTTAATACCTAACGGCGTGAGCAAGTCTGCTTATCTACAGCAAGAAAAACAAAGTAGGGATCATGACCTTGAATGAATTTAATATACTGGGTGTCCCAAAATTCAACGATAAGCTAGTACCGGTATATGGTCGGGTCAATAACTACCCATGGAAAATAATAACAAAAATCCAGCTCTTTTTTTTTCAAAGTTACATTAACTTTTTTGAAAAATGTTGTAATTTGTACCTTACACCCTATGATTAGATACTGTGGTTACAAATGTGAACATATCCCCACATTTTTTTTGTATTAGCTACCTAAGTAAAATAACTATTAATTGCAGTTCTAAATAGGACCAAAACATTCGTAGTTTTTAATATAAAAATAAAATAAACAATTCTGTTGTCTTGAAATTTTAGAATATTTTAACTTTTAATCAACTTTGACATACTAGTGTGTCAATAATGTATGAAATGTAGCGTCATGATAATTGCCTTATCGTTGCCGCCGCTGACTACTCCCCGAATCCTGTTCACGCAGGAGCCAGTCACCGTCGACGCCCTAGACACGTCCTTACGGATCCATCAGATCCAATAACCTTTGCATTAGACGCCTTCAGCTCTAACACTAGGAGCAGGCTTAGGGACTCCGGTAACCGTACTCGTCGAACTCGACAAAGAGTTCGCCGTGCAACCTAACCCATGAATCAGCTCGCTGAGTTTCTCGCCGGATCTTCTCAGCGGGTCGCGATTCCGATCCGGTAGTAGACTCATTCGCGAAGCAGCTGCTCTTGAGCTGTTAGGTCTCCTTCGGAGGCGCTCGGGTAGTTGTTAGCAAATCCCACCCCTCCTGGCTGAGCCTTTGCTCGCCCACCTGTCCTGGTGAAACTGGAAAGGCCTCCGGGCCACCAGTAATCATTCAATCATAAAAAAAAAAGTATGAAATGTACTATGGCATGTTATTACAAAATTTAGCGCAATTCATCACAATTCTAAAATGGTCCAGTACTAGGACAACAGTCTTGTAAAAATTCAAAGAATTCTCTTCTCACGACACAAAAAGGGTTTTGGGAGTCTTAACGACAAAGGGAAGATCTTCCACCGAGCGGGTGATATTGCTCGGTAGACAGACCGTGATTGTCGCAGTGTAGGTGCGTGCCGTAGGACCAGGAAGCGCGGTGAGTCGGCTGCGATGGTCCTGTTGAGGCTGCGATGCTGTGGGACGACTGTCGATGACTTGCTTTTATCTGCGAGAATGCGGGGATTGTGGTAGCCGGTGTTCTTGATGCGCTGATGATGAATCAGAAGGTTGCGTGTTCACATCACGTCGGAGGTCACCAGTTTGGGAGAGTTTACACAACGAAAGGAAGATCTTCCACCGAGCGGGTGATATTGCTCGGTAGACCGACGGTCCGAATGTTGTTGTTCGGAACTTGTATATATGCGCTTTATCTTGAAAATGTCGTAAGCGAGATTCAGGCATCTGTCAATTATCTTGCGTTGTATGACGGCTACCCGCCACAGGGTTATTTAGCTTAGTTTTTGAAAACATTATGTTCGGTGATATATTACCGAACCCCTTTGTCAGCATAATTTGCGTGACGCATTAACTTTATTTCCACAAATCATTAGTGCACGATCAACAACATTCATAACATTAACATTTAATTGATTTAATTAATATTTTAACAATAAACATTTTTGAGCAACATAATCTTTAAATAACAAACTCACACCGCACCCTACATTTTGGTCCTTCGAGCGGGATTTGAACCAGCGACCTATGGATTTCTTTGTCTATTTTTTTTCCCTTCTGCGGCCGTGTCCTGTTTACAGGCCGACAATCGTCAAAAAGAGGACGAAGAGATTTATCAGGCATCAATGGGATCGCTATAACAAACTTAAGAGGAATTGGCGTAAACCAAGAGGTATTGACCTATAAGGCCTATAGCTTTCCTCAATAAATGGGTTATCTAACACTGAAAGAATTTTTCAAATCGGACCAGTCGCTCCTGATGAGATTAGCGCGTTCAAACAAACAAACTCTTCAGCTTTATAATATTAGCATAGATACCATACTATACCGTATAATAAAATATTACCAAAAACAAATGCTGACATGCCACTTTTAAGACATTTTTACATTTTACGGGACTTTCACACAATAAAACAGACAAAGTTTGTGTTATAATGCGTTTAATTAGTGGAAAATTAATTTAAAATACAATTTAGTACCTTATCTAATTATTATCTTTATTTTCCACGTCCGGTGCCGCACTGGTGTCTTCCACTGTTTCCGAACTTCCTTCGATATCTTCTTTCGTCTGAAAATAAAATATGATTACATCTAACTTATTTAGATTATGAAAATGGTACGGTTTTCGGGTGACCATGTCCACGATACGCCCCAGCACTATGGTTTATACCACCATACCACTGCGCTATGGATCAAATAACTAACAAAGAATACACATTAAAGATCCTTATAATACAGTGACTTGTTAACATGATTACTTGTTCCTCTAGAGAGCTACACTGTCGAACAAAACTAACTCTTTGACTAGATAGTCGTAACAAACTTTAAAGTATCGAAATAAATCATTTGCTTTGTATACCTACATATGTATATCGTTTTAAACTTTATTCAATGTTCTAATTTTAATGAACCTTATACTAATAAGACTCTTAGACTGCAGTGTACATGGTTCGGTAACAAACATCAAACAGAGATGCTGAATTTATGCGTGACGTCATTTGGGGCTAAATCACACGACGAATTTCATTTTGATGTATCATCTGATATAAGATTGTATATATATTTAATGTTTTGCTTAATGAACAATGATCGGGTGATAAGATCGGGACTAAAGATCTAATGGTACTAACAACCAAAATGAAATTTTAAAGAATTTCAATATGTTTGCTATTTATATAAAATTATAGCTGTACCCATCCGTCCGTTTCGCTGGGCATTTAAAATTAACATTATTATTTCTCACCCCCACAAAGATTCTCATCATTAACGCCCCCGCAACTAGTCTAGGGAGTCCAACACCCATATCAATATTAGCCTATCCATTAAGTACATGTATTTTCTACATGGATACCAAGTTTCAAATCAATCGGATGCATGGTTCGGAAGTTATAACGGAACATCCGTAAATACCAGCGGCAGGCAGCTGTTTTCGGCAGCGGCTTGGCTCTGCCCCTGGCATTGCTGACGTCCATGAGTGACGGTGACCACTTACCATCAGGTGGGCCGTATGCTCGTCTGCCTACAAAGGCAATAAAAAAAACATAGATTTATATATTAGTATAGATATAGATGAAAACCACTGTAGATTTATATATTAGTATAGTATAGATGTATTCTGGTTCATGAATGGCTTGCGTACCTGTTCCCTCTCGAACAGCAAGGCGAGCTCAATGTGGTCGGTGTGCGGGAACATGTCGAGGGGCAGGGCCCGGCGCGGGCGGAAGGGGGCGCCGCGGAGGGTCTTGGACGAGGGCCGAGCGAGGTCCACCCAGTTCTTGAGCGCGGCGGCGGGCCGGCACGACACGTACAGCACGCGCCGCACGCGTCGGCTGTTGCGCAGCTGCGTCACGGCGCGCATGTCTGCGGAGCGAGCATTACTTGACTACGAGCGAGTCTGAGTCTAAGGCCTGGTCCAGAAAGGGCGAATTCGCCGCGATTCTCTTGTGCGTATAACGCGCAACCGTTTCGCCCACAAAGAGCGTACCTACGCGCGAGCCTTTGGGGACGAATTTAGTCAGTACGAAGCTTACCGTCGCTGGAAGAGACAAAAACGGAGGGAAAATATAATGTATTTAGTACATCCAATTCTTAATGATAGAATGACATATTTTATAGTATGTTTGTCTTTCTTTTTTCCGCGGAGTCATCATCTTTATCAGAAAATATTAACACCAATTCTTCCCAAGATCTACGTTTTAAAATTCTGTTGGCATAATAAGGTGATTCCAAATCCCATATCGCCAGTCGTTTTTCTATTTCGTCTATAAATAATTCCATAGGTATCAAAATTTTGACGCTCCATTTCTCTGAATACGTGCACTCGCTCTGGAGGTCGAGAAATGTTTCGCGCGTCAGTGAGATACTAGGCACCAATACATCGCGCCCACAAGATCGCACGAATTCAAAAAAACGCGCGTAAATTGCGTGCACTACGCCAGACTAATGCGCGCGATTCGAGATACTAGGGACGCCTTGTTGCGCCCAGTTAACGCGTGAACTCCAGAGCGAGTGCATGTATCAAATATGCTTAAATGCTCGCGTGTAGGTACGCTCTTTCTGGGCGAAACGTTCGCGCGTGATACGCACGAGAGAATCGAGGCGAATTCGCTCCTTCTGGACAAGCTTTAAGGCACACGGACGGTGACATTCACAATGTCGTGTCTATGCAGATTCTAGTTGGTAAAAAAGCTTCATTTACACACAAAGAGATTCTTAAATACGATCTGCCGGGAATATCATACCTATACAGGGTGTCCCCCAAAGGTAAACTATATACATACGGCGACATTCACACTGTCGTGTCTACGGAAATTTTAGTAGGTAAAGTAGCCTCATTTACACACGAAGAGACATTTAAATACGATCAGCCGGGAATATAATACCTATACCGGGTGTCCCCTAAAGGGTATAATTAAACCGAAAACTATACACCGTCGTTGCAAATTTGAAATCTCCTATAAGAATAAATGGAGTTTTCGAGAAAATCTAATAAAAGTACCTCCTGGGAAAAATATAACGCAAATATTTTTTTAGCACATTGGATACTTTGATCTACAACAAAACACAACCCGATACTTAGGATTTTTTAAGATTGACGAGTAATAAAGTTAAATATTGATATATGCACATGGGAGTTTTTGCTGAGTATTTATTTAAATTATCGCAAAAATCCTAGCGACTTCGTATTGCTTTAGGAATTCTGAAATCATACGCAAACGCGATACCTAGGCCCGCCCGTGTAATCGAGTTCTAACTCAAAAAGATCATGTGATGGCAGCTAATCGTAATACACAGACAAAAACAACCCGCCCCCGCCGATCCGACTGTGTCGGCACATCAAACAGCTTCTTTTTTCTTTGCAATGAAGGGGAAATTTAGTAACAAGTCGCAATTTTGTCGTATTCATTGTTTGAAATGAGTTAAACGAATTTATTATTGTCTATCACGAGACACATTTAAACAATTAACAAATTAGTTTTTGTCTGAAACTACTACGACTTAGTTTATTTTTTTACTTTTTACGAGATCTATAGTCATTGATACTGTTGTTACGTTTTGGCTTAATATACTTATTGTGTTGCACCCTGTATCTTATTTAACGCGATCATAATGAACACTACGAGTTTTATCACTCGAAATTGATGTAATATCCGAGTGTGTACAGTTATCCTCATCAAACAGGAGTGCTCTTTATTGAAATAATAGCTCACAGCAATAGCCATGTTTCAGTCCCTGATTGACGCTCCGACTATGCCAAGTCTCTGTAGGATACTCACGGAGTCCAGCTCTTGGGGGATCAACAATAGCAATAACATCGTCTCCGGTGGCCCTGGCCAGCACCGAGGGTAGTATGTCTTCAGCTTTGCCAGTGTAGAACTCACTGTTTTCGATTTCGTTAAGTTCAGCATTTGCTTTCGCGTCCTTCACAGCTTCCGGTACCAATTCTAAGCCTAAAACTTTACCGCAGTGCTGAAAATTAGAATACCGACATGAAAAAAGGTTTTCATAAAGAAATACCTCAGTTATTAAAATGATCAATTATAAAATGATAATGAATTTAAAAATGGAATTTAAAAAAAAAAAACTTTGTCCATGACTTGCCCAAGCACGGAGAATGCTTTCATAATAAAACGTAATAAAATACTAAGGTTTCAAGATACAAATACATTGGTTGATGAAAATATTGGTCTTTGAACGCTAGAAACAAATAACAAAAAGTGAAGAAATTTATAGAGTAACATACTTTAGCAAAACACAGGCCTATCGTGCCGGTCCCACAACAAATATCTATCACAGTCGAATCCTCTTTGACTTCACTCATTTCAATAGCCTTTTGATACAGTATTTCAGCACCGGCTGTGTTTATCTGTAATGTTGCAATGCGTTTTTATTCAATTCAAATCATCGGCAGTAGAATTCTTCCTAAGTTCTATGAACTTCTAATCGTACTCATTGATATAATTTTAAATAAGACTTTATTATGTTATTCTGTAAAAATAAAGAAACGATATTTAAAGTTTACTAGCTGACCCCGCAGACTTCGTAGTGCCTCAACCGATAAATAAAAATAAACTTAAAACAAACAAAAGGAATCCGTCCGACGGGGGACACATCAAAGGAAAAACAAAATTGTTATTTTCCTTTAATTCCGAAGATTTTTATATTTATCTACCTTCGGTTATCGGTCCAGCCGTTCTCGAGTTTTAGCGAGACTAACGAACAGCAATTCATTTTTATATATGTATATAGATTTAGAAATTATTTTTATAACTTCATTAATATGCATAATCAAACAGTTAGAACAAAATGAAAACAAACCAAAATAGAAAAAATTGTGAAAAAGGAATTTCACTTTTGAGCATCAGCGAGTACAGTCGAATTTTGAACACCCAAAGAATACTTACTAGTTTTAATAAATGTAGTGACATACCTGAAAGAATGCCTCTGGGGAAATCCGAAACTGTCTCCCCAATATTGTGTCAATGATATGAGTTGATCCCATTAAGTGTGTAGGCTTTGTTGGTTCTTCACCAACCCTCCTGTTCAAAACAATACATATTAAACATGAAGAAAATTTAACAGGACAGAGGTAATAAAAAATACATTGTTGGTAGCATAGACATGAGAATAGTTAGACCTTTGGGAGATTAATGTCAAACGAAAGAACTTCTATCGGGAATCGAGCGTGTGTAATTGCTCGGTAGACCGACGATCCGAATGTTGTTGTTTGAAACTTATATATAACGAGCCATGTATCGTACAGGGCACGCGCGCATTCACATCAGCACCTTTACATCGCTTTACTCAAACCGTAGTATAAAGCGCCAGTACACGTTCAGCACTCATATACAGCGGTACTCACCACATCAACATACAGAGATAGAATTAGTTACTTGTTGGCGAAGTATATAATAAACGCATATTCTTTGACTATCAGTGATTTGTTCCTATCTAAATCTCATGTTGTGTACGCCACATTCAGCAGCGCATACAGTTAGACATATGCTGTCGCGACACTTTTTGTAAATAATAATGTGTTCTACAAAGTCGTAGTACATTATTTTATTCTAACATCAATAGGTTTCGCAGGGCACGCGATGTAAAGAATATTTTAGGTAATTTTTTTACACCTTGGGTTACATTATTGTAGTTTTAGTAAGGATCCCAAATTTTTTTCAAAAAAGTTTATAGCCTATGTCACTCGGAAATAGTGTAGCTTCCAAGCAGTGTAAGGATTTTTCAAATCGGTACTGTAGTTTCGGAGCCTATTCAATACAAACAAACAAACAAATCTTTCCTCTTTATAATATTAGTATAGAAGTATAGATAATACGCAAGCTTATCTTGAAAATGTCGTAAGCGAGATTCAGGCATCTGTCAAATATCTTGTGTTCTGTAATAGCTACCCCCCACGACCCATGTAGAAATACTATAATATAAAAATCTTAAAAGCGTTTATCTGCGAATTCGGCCATTGTAATGGATCTAAAATGAGAAGCTACAATTTCATATCGAATATTTATATAAATCATACTAGCGAATCCGACAGACGTTGTCCTGTGAATATATACACAAAAAATCCTTCATTTGATCCAGCCGTTTAGTTGCATTATAAATAGCCTAGATACCGACTGCGGCGCTATCTGCCGAGCTGATTTGTGAATCTAAACCATCCAGGGTGCCACAAAAACGCATAAAAAATTTTTTCAAATCGGTCCAGCCGTTTAACAGTAGTTCAGTGACATACACATGTACAGTACAATTATATATACAACATGTAACATATTTAACGCACACCCTCAAACACCCCAATTAGACTTTAATAGTATAAACGCTATGCATACACCAAATATTATTTATATGTGCGTTAACATTGATTATTTGTGAAATTAGTTATTCCAATTTCGTGGAAATAAAATGGTCACCGATTCACACTCCGCTGCGCACGCACACACAGACACCTACTCGCCGCGCCCCTTGTTCAATGCACTTTAATGACCGTTTTCGTATTTGTTGTTTTATTTTAGATAATACTGCAATGTCACTTTTCACTTTATCAAAGGCGGTTATTATCTTATTCTTTAGTTCTTCGGCACTTATTGTCTGTGTGTTATAAACTAGCGATTTAATTCGCCCCCACAAAAAAAAGTCGAGAGGCGTCAAATCAGCTGATCTAGGAGGTCACTGACCGAAAAGACATAGCGAAATACGGGAGATATTTTATTTGCACTATCACTTGACCTCTTATCGATAAGGTGGACGCGGCGTGACTGACTTGTCAAAAATATTTTGTTGACTTCGTTGTTTAGATTTTTCTTTGATCACCGCCGACGCAACCGCGTCGCCGCGAACATCGGGATTAGCCTGCCGTTTATTGTAAGAATATTATGCCGACGAAAGAAAGGGATAGTAATTATTTTTGTATTACGTGGTTTTCTTTTATGTATTGTAGTGTTGCTGTGTGCCGGCGGTTGGTATTGTGTGCGTAGGTATTTTATTTTGTAATAGACTATTAGCCTTGAAATAAGTATCAGATTTCTTTAATTAAATAATATTTTTTTTTACTAATTAGATATTTCATTTTAAAAAGTCTTAATACCCTGACTTACGTTCCATTTTCGTTTCTATGAATTGTTTAGCTAGCTGTGTAGGGTGACTGTAATTTACTTAGTTTTAACTAAATTTTAGAAAAAAAAATTGGTACATAAAAAACAATCAAAATCGATCCAGATTCCGATTCTGAACAAATTACTTTCAGGGTGTGCGTTAATTATGTTACATGTTGTATAAAGATAATACATTAGAACCGATTCAAATAAGAAAAGGTGACGTTCATTGTTTACTCCTTTAAGTTTTAACAAATAAAACATCAGTGCATACCTTCCTACCTTTTAGTGATCAACTCAAAATACAATGATTTAATCCCACAATCAACTTCTTTAGAACTACAATGTTCTATCAAGTCATTTTTAATTTTTTCTATTTCACTCTCAGTTAAATTCTGAAATAAAGTAGATACACACTATTTTAGTCAATAAATTATAACTTCAATCAGACTGAATTTTGACTGCTATAAAAAGCTGTTTATTACTTCATAAAGTAGTGGTTACTTTTGTCTTTTATTTGTTTTGTTTTCTATATGTTTGAAGTTAATTCTTGACTAAATTTTGCACATTTACCTGAGGATACATGGACGCAATTAACATGACATCATCATTCCATGTTGACTGCCTGACGGTCAAATAACGCCAGTATCCAGAATAGTCAGCCGGAGAGAATGGAGCTAATCCAGATTTACGGACAAAGTCTTGGAATACCTAAAGAATTATTAGAAATCAGAATACTTTTTTTTTATTGCTTAGATGGGTGGACGAGCTCACAGCCCACCTGGTGTTAAGTAGTTACTGGAGCCCATAGACATCTACGACGGAAATGCGCCACCCACTTTGAGATATAAGGTCTCAGTATAGTTACAACGGCTGCCCCACCCTTCAAACCGAAACACATTACTGCTTTACGGCAGAAATAGGCAGGGTGGAGGTACCTACTCGTGCGGACTCACAAGAGGTCCTACCACCAGTAATTACGCAAATTATAATGTTCACTTTTTCAATTTAAGACATTTAAACGAAGGTAAGCAGAAACTATATTTTATCTTTTTATGTCTCTGCTTTCCTAATATTATATTAATTGTATNCCCTTCAAATCGAAACACATTACTGCTTTACGGCAGAAATAGGCAGGGTGGAGGTACCTACTCGTGCGGACTCACAAGAGGTCCTACCACCAGTAATTACGCAAATTATAATGTTCACTTTTTCAATTTAAGACATTTAAACGAAGGTAAGCAGAAACTATATTTTATCTTTTTATGTCTCTGCTTTCCTAATATTATATTAATTGTATTACAATGAATGATTATAGAATAACATAAATTATTTAAAATAAATTAAATAACTTTACACTTTAAATTAGGCATGTAATGATTATCAATTTTAAAACTCACCAAAACAGCCTGTTTCGTTCTCTCAGGTATATGTATCAACATTTCTATGGGTGCCACAGCCACAGTACCAGTCACATAACTACCCAATCTAAACCCAACGGTGGGTAACTTCGTCTCATCATCAATACCAATCGTGAATTCACATTTGTTCCTGTAGCCATCTAAGACAGGAGATTTTTCAATGGGCTTTAGTTCAAAACTCAGACCGTTGTATATTTTCCTGTTAGCTTCAATAACACTGCGATTTGATTTGTCCATTTTCCACACTTCATTGTCAAATTTCATTAAAATATGTTTAATTTCTTTATCTTTTAATTTCAACTGAAATTTGTGTAAGAATTGATTATGATGCCAGGTACCTGGTTGATTAATATAACTTAGCTTAGAATGATTCTTGAACAGTTGACAAATTTAGGATGTAATTAATAGTTTTCACATATTAGTTATGCTAAGGAGGGAAAACATTTACCCTACATCTTGAAAGTAATTTGTGAACTGTACCTATGATTACAATCTTGGAAAAATCATAGTCTTTAATATAGAGACCATAGAACTTTTTTTTTTTTGGGCCGGGGCCGAACTTCCTACGAGGTCACCGCACCTAGGGGGCGCGCGGGGTATGTGGGACTTGACGATCTGCAAGGTGTTGGGAGCAGACCGCGGCCCAAGGAATTTTAGGGCCCTACCGCACTAAATGACTCCCCTGCACTCTTACACCCGACGTCCGATCTTTGTCCGGGGTCATAACCCTGTAGGGGAGTTCCCGCGGTCAATACTACAACCAGACACGTGGCACCACCCCGAGGACGCCCGACCGGCGGGTTGTCGAGGCGATAGTCGACGACCAACGACGTCGGTCTACGAGGTACGGCGGCCCTGCCAGGCCGCCCGGGCGATGCCGCTGGTGTTCCGGGATACCCCGCTGGGCCAGAACCAGCCTGCCGGATCGGAACGCGATACGCAGCGACGACGACAATGCGGGCCGCATCGCAGGCCGCAGCCGCCAACGAGTGGTCCTGTCCTCCTGGTGCCAGTGCGCTAGAGCGACGGTAACGTGCGGCGCAGCCTCAACCTCCTTAGGTCGCCCCGTGACCGTGAGGAGACTGCCTCCTCATAGGGGCCGGAGTTGGACAAGCATCCTCCTCCAACCCCCGAGACCATTGAACTCTTGTCTTAAGGTAGGTGACGAGCATTTACATTGTAGATGCATATGGTCTCCAGTAGCCACTTAACACCAGGTGGGCTATGAGCTTGTCCACCCATCTAAGCAATTAAAAAAATGTGATGTCTTTTCTGCTAGTCTATGAAAGTTTCATACAAAGTTTAAAAAAGACCAGTCAAACCCATAATGGATTTAGTCATTTTTGAGACTAACACCAAGGCATTACCACAAAAACATATAGAATTTTATTTATTTATGTATTTTTTACCTGTTCTTCATAAGGCACATTCCAATATGGTAAAACTGCATCTTTTAATCTCTCCTCTTGGCTCTTATTCTCATCACATTTCTTTTTTTTTACTTGTCCATTATTCTCTTCTTGTTTCCTCTTTTTCACTAAAGGATCTGGTGCTGGCTTTGCTATTTCTGCTATCAGTGTCTTCCCTGGAAAATTATATGTAATATTTATTATCATGTGAGCTCCAAAATATCATGAAAGAAGAAAGGTACTATACCAGGCAATACTGGAGTAAAAGTAAAATTCGTAAACAAAATATTAATAGATAAATTGCCAAATAAACAAACTTATTTTAATCAATACGTAAATCACTTAGTAACAGTGATGAACTACAGAATGTATTGTATAAATANTCCCTGGAAAATTATATGTAATATTTATTATCATGTGAGCTCCAAAATATCATGAAAGAAGAAAGGTACTATACCAGGCAATACTGGAGTAAAAGTAAAATTCGTAAACAAAATATTAATAGATAAATTGCCAAATAAACAAACTTATTTTAATCAATACGTAAATCACTTAGTAACAGTGATGAACTACAGAATGTATTGTATAAATAGTTAACTTCAGTATGGTAATTTTTTTTTGACAAATTCCACATTTCATTAAGTGTTCGTAAAATAAAATAGCAAACCTTTCCATTCATATCCGTGAAGAGTTTCAATAGCTTTCACCCTCTCTTCCTCATTTTGAAAACATGCAAACAGCCAATGACTGCCATTCTTTGGCCTTTTTATTTTACTAGTGTTCAACCCTAGTTTCTGGTTCATTAATTTCTTCAATTCCTAGACCATTTCAAATAAATTCAAACATCAGCAAATAAAGAGTGAAATTGATTTTAGAAATGTGTTATCTGTATCCCTGCTTTACACTTGAAGCACTATAAGCTATATTTTTACTTAGTTCGCTTGATATTGCTAGTAATCTAGTACTACTGATCAAATAAAAGTAGAAAACTTAAAAGAAAGAAAAGAAAAGTAAAAAATTCAGTTTAGTAATAATTTATAAGAATTAATTTTCTAAGAAAGAACAGTCATTAGTTAAATATTAAGAAAACAGACGAAACTCACGGCAATACCGTAGAACTTCGGCAGTCCACGCAACTCTATTTTAAAATTTTCTGATGAAAACCCTCCACGGTCTAGATAAGCATATTCTTCACTAAGTAATGAAGAAGCCTGTCCGTCTACGTTTGTTTCCATACTAATTTCTTTATCATTTTCCATTTTGGTTTAAAAGTTAGATTTTAGTTTTTAAAAAATGTATGTAAACAATTTTCAATTTTTAGGTTATTCTTATGTAGAATAACCATAGACCTTTTTGTTTTTTGGTAGGTACAAATTTACCGGCTCTGTAAATTTGGCCCCTCCTTTTTTGTTTTCGGATTTTTTAATTTTTAATTATTTGTTCGTCGTTTGTTCGTTAATGTTCGAATGTAAAAATTGTTTGTTCGTCTTTTGTTTATTTATAATTAATTAAATAAATGATCACCGTTAAGTGGGCCCCCTTTACTAGATATCTTTATTTTTATCGCTCAGATTAATTGATTTTGATCAATTATCGTTTGTTCGACGACTATTGGTAATTGTTCGACCATAAAAATAATTAAATTCCCAATTATTAATTATTTTATATTAATGTAATACCGAAATACTTCACGAGATGGCGTTACAAAAAATCCCTTCCCAAAACTATAAAACCGTTGTGATTGTCTACTGAATAAATAATATTTATTCGTATAATAAATAATATAATAAATAATATTTATTCGTAGGTGATTGTTTAAGATGTTATGAATATTTCAGTTTTGATTTCATCAAAATAACTTGAACTTTACTACTGAATTCCGAAAAAAATTCTAATTAAGACTGAGTTAAGTTAAGCTTTTTATTTAAGCCTCTTACTGTAGTTTTTAAATTACATTTATGCGGATTGATGTTTCAAAGCTTTCAGATTTCAATTTTAAAATCTGAAATAATGAAGAACAGCGTCATCCACCGTTCACATTTGAAACAGAATTTAATTCGGTTTAAATTTGTAAAAGTTGATGTTGATTATTATTACACTAATTAATTGAGCGTTTCATTAGCTTTTAAGCTGAGTGACTATTTATAATTTATTTTTCTATTGTCTATTTTTGTTCAGTAATAAATGAGCAAAAAATAATACTTAACAAAAAGATATGAAATCCGAACAAAAACAGTTTCACTGTAAAAAATTGCGCCAAGTCCACGTTTATAAAACTCATCTCAATAACATTTGCACTTTACAAAAAAAATAAGACTTCAATAACTTTCATTCTCTAAAAAAAGATGTGAAATACAAAAAAATACCAAGAAACCATCATAATGCTGAAAAAATAAATAAAAATTTTTTTGAAAATTTAAAAAAAAAAAAAAAAAATATATCGTACTTGGTGCACGTCATTGAGTACCCCAAAATTTTTCAGGATAAATGAACATCCTTTCAATGTTTACAAAATTATAAGTCGGTCAACCTATGAAATGCATAAATATAACGAATTATTATTTCATAATAAGTTTTACAGAAGCTAGGTAAAATCGACATCTCATACGTTATTTGAATTTCGTATGTTATTTGAATTTTTTTAATTTCCCGCTCATCATTTATGATTTGAACTAAACACCCTCTCATGTTCGCTTATACAAACTACTTACGAGTCGATACGTATGCATACGTTGGCTTCAAAAAATTTGAAAAATTCTCAAACATGTTTTTCAATGGGTAGAAAAGAATAATAAAGTTTCAGCTGAATGAATCTAAAGGGGTCGAACGCAAAAGTGGAAGATTTGGCATATATTAGCCCATATACATATTTGTAATTATTAATACGAGTATTGTATGCGGGAAGTTCAATATGAATTTAGTGATATTCAAAGTATATGCATTTCGAACATCTCCTAAAGGATATATTATTATATACAAAAACCGACAATCAGCAGAATCTAACGAGAAGCCTGTTGTTCAAGGTAAGGTCGTCGATAAAATACCTCGTGGACGAAGCTCCATATGCTGGACTGATCAAGTGATAATCCTTACTAAAGCCTCACTTAACAAGCGCTTTTTTTCCTATCTAAGCTGATAGTCTTGAGAGACCACTTCAGCGTAACCTTAACTAGTAGGTGAGCTCACGGGGCTCAAACCGGAGTGATGCTAACACGAACCCTAGCAAGATCTACCACCGAATCTAGGTATTACCGAATTTGAAACGCTGAGAAGACTGAGAAGATCCGGCGAGAAACTAACTCAACGGGTTATTTTTTTTATTGCTTAGAATCTAAGCAATGCTTAGATGAATGGACGATCTCTCACAGCCTACCTGGTGTTAAGTGGTTACTGGAGCTCATAGACATCTATAACGTAAGAGCGCCACCCTCCTTGAGATATAAGTTCTAAGGTCTCAAGTATAGTTACAACGGCTGCCCCACCCTTCAAGCCGAAACCGATTACTGCTTCACGGCAGAAATAGGCAGGTTTTTAAGTCGTTTTCGTTGCAAACTCGCACTAAGCACACAGGACGGCGGTATCTATCCGTGCGAGCTCACAGAGCCCTCCACCGTTAGTAATTACGTAAATTATATTTTTTGCGAATTTCGTTTAAGTAACACGATATTCCTTCATAATCAAAGTCATTCGTGAGCATGTTCTAAGTAAACCTGGTGGTAGGACCTCTTGTGAGTCCGTACGGTACCACCACCCTGCCTATGTCTGCCGTGAAGCAGTAATGCGTTTCGACCTATATACAGGGTGGCCGGATCATTGTCGTCCAAAAAAAAATTTAGGTCTCTCGTGTCGTGGGGTATCCGAATCAACCCCACATGGGGATCGCGGATTTTTGATAGTTTTCGAGTTATGATATATTATGTTACCTTTATGATTTTTTACCTTTATTTTTATGATTTAGTACCAGCGGCTAGCTCCAGCCCCTTGCACCAGCCACTAGCTCCAGCCGCTTGCACCAGCCGCTAGCTCCAGCCGCTTGCACCAGCCGCTAGTTCCAGCCGCTAGCTCCAGCCCCTTCGTTTACTGCGCATCTCTCGTAATCGTGTTACTTTCGTACTATCGACTTTGGCTTGTGTTACCCTGGACTTGATACTCTATCCGTACTTGACGACTCTGAATTTGTTTTTTGGACTTTGTGCTGTGCAAACTGTGTGTGAACAACTTCACTCCTCGCATTCCCGCTCAGACACAAAGTGTCTGTCGGACTTTTTGGCCACCCTGCCGTGAAGCAGTAATGGCTGCTGGTGCTAGCGGCTGGTGCAAGTGGCTGGTGCTAGCAACATGTGATAGCGGCTGGTGCAAGCGGCTGGAGCTAGCGGCTGGCGCAAGCGGCTGGTACTAAATGCTGGCGCTAACGGCTGGTGCTAGCGGTTGGGGCAAGTGGCTGGTGCAAGCGGCTGGAGCTAGTTGCTGGAGCTAGCGGCTGGAGGCTAGCGGTTGGTGCAAGCGGCTGGAGCTAGCGGCTGGAGCTAGTGGCTGGAGCTAGCGGTTGGTGCAAGCGGCTGGAGCTAGCGGCTGGAGCTAGTGGCTGGGGCTAGCGGTTGGTGCAAGCGGCTGGAGCTAGCGGCTGGAGCTAGTGGCTGGAGCTAGCGGTTGGTGCAAGCGCCTGGATCTAGCAGCTGGTGCAAGTGACTGGAACTAGCGGCTGGTGCAAGAGGCTGGTGCACGTGGCTGGTGCAAGCGGCTGGTACTAAATGCTGGAGCTAGCGGCTGGGTCTTGTTGCCGGAGCTAGCGGCTGGTGCTAGTTGCTGGAGCTAGCGGTTGGTGCAAGCGGTTGGTGCAAGCGGTTGGTGCAAGCGGCTGGAGCTAGCGGCTGGTGAAAGCGGCTGGTGCAAGCGGCTGGTACTAAATGCTGGAACTAGCGGCTGGAAATAGCGGCTGGAGCAATCGTAATCGTGTTACTTTGGCTTGTGTTACCCTGGACTTGATACTCTATCCGTACTTGACGACTCCGGCTTTGTTTTTTGGACTTAGTGCTGTGCAAACTGTGTGTGAACAACATGCCGCATTTGTACACACCGCAAGAATATGCAAATATGCATCTTATCTACGGTGAATGCCGTTGTGATGCCTCTGCTGCAGCTAGACTGTATCGGGAGAGGTACCCGAATGTGGAGCGGTACCCAGATTATCGTGTCTTCCAAAATGTGCACGCATCATACTCGGAAGGACGATTACCCAGTGCCCGTACATCTGGTAGGAGACCTCAAGGAAACTACGACGCTGAAGTTTTGAATGAAGTCGAAAATGACCCCAGTACCTCAGTACGTGCGATTGAAATTGCAACGGATGTGGCGAAGAGTACCGCACATCGAATTTTAAAACGATACGATTTTCATCCTTACCATGTACAACGTGTGCAGAGCTTGTTAACACGTGATCACGCACCCAGAGTTGATTTCTGCAGAACCATGTTAGCGAAAATTCGTGAAGATCCGGATTTTCTAAATAAAGTTTTGTGGACTGACGAATCGACATTTAAAAGAGATGGTTATTTAAACTTACATAACCTTCATGGTTGGCATACGGAAAACCCGCATTTGATGCGTGAGGGTCGATCCCAGTACCAATTAAAAATCAACATGTGGACAGGAATATTAAACGGTCAAATAATTGGACCATTTGAGTTGACTGAAAATTTAGATGGCGCCACCTACTTGCATTTTCTTCAAAATGATTTGCCGACATTGCTAGAAGATGTACCATCTACAGAGAAATGTGGTATCAACAAGATGGTTGCCCAGCACATTATGCCCGGCCTGTAAGAGAATATATTTAAACGAATTATATCCCGGTAAATGGATCGGACGCCTTAGACCCTCGTTCCGCAGACCTGAATCCAGTAGATTTTTTTACTGGGGATGCATAAAAGAAAAGGTCTACTCAAAACCAATTCAAAATGTAACAGAATTGCGCCAAAAAATTGATGCAGCATCAGAAGAAATCAATGCGAGGAGATTTGCAAGACTGGTGAACAGGTCATTTCTGAGGCGATGTAGAGCTTGTATTCGTGCTGGAGGGAAACAATTTGAGCATCTGCTTTAGTTTTAGGAGGATAATAAGGTGTTACGATAATTGACCGTTTTATTTTGATTAAATTTTCCATGAGTTCCTTTCGCAAAAAATACGAAATAGCAGTTTTATTGGCAAGAAAAGTGGCAAGTGTTGTACTATTTTGAAATCTAGACTAAATGGGCCATCTTTTAAAAAAACTTGCCATAGGTAGTGTAGTACATTTTTTTTCCAACGTAGAGTG